GATTTAGTCCTCCTTGGGTCTGCAGTCTGCATGTAAATTTTAGAATTGGTTTATCTATAGCTACACAAAAGAGCCCTAGTGCGTTATCAAGTAAGCACGGACAGCACACATGCACTCCTCCCTGCTCCTGTGACGGTTTATCACCTCCGGCCTCTCTCCAGGGCTACCCAGAGTTGGGACAGGCTGAATGGCAGGGAGTCTGCCTTTCATGGCTACAAAATCCTTGCTGAAGTTTTAATAAGAATTATATTAAACCTGTGAATCATTTTTAAGAAGCTGTTTTATTCACTATGCTGAACCTCTATGGGGTACGTCTGTGGGAACATGGTGTGTCTCTTCATTGATTGATAGCTTATTCATTTCTTTCCTCCACTTTTTATTGCAGCATACAGGTTATTTGCATGCTCTGTTATGTTTACACATAAGTACTTCAGTTACTTTGCAGTGACGGTTTTCAATTTCAGTTTTCACATGTGCATTGATAACGTGCAAATGCAATAGATTTTGTGTGTGTGTGCACAATTCACTGATCACCTTGTACTTACTACTGTGCTTGTTTGTTGACATAAATAACATGCATCACAGGGAACTGACAGTCAAGGGACTGCAAACTATAAACATTCTATAGTTTGTGTACTGTATTAGTTCTAAGAGCTCATACTTCCTATTATTTAATATATATGTAATATATATAGAAAGAGATACTTAGGTCATCTGCAAATAGGGAGCTTAAGTACTTGCTTTCAATGTGTAGTTTTTATTAGTCTTAATTTGAACCATACATATCTATAATAATTTAGGTTAATAGAGTTTAAATTTATTCAATATTTACTCCCTCTCCCTGGATGAAAAAAAGATATTTTGTGCATGCAATAAATATTCAATTCTGATGATTTTTTACAAAAGAAAATGCCAGGGTGGCAGTGGTCTACATTGCTGATCAAAGGGCTACCTATGTGTATGGACCTTGAAGTAACCCTTCTGCTACAGAGGGCAGAGAGCAGGGAAAGCCCTCAAAGTCATAGCTTTGGGTATACACGGAATTGGGGGACCAAAGCTATAGACTTCGACAGAGACAAAGACTGAGGAGGAGCAGAAGGAGATTGGAGAAAGAATGAGGGGGACATGTGAACCCTCTGGAGAATCTTCTAAAATATTTCGCTTTTACCCTGGAAGACCAAGTAAGCCCTCTGACAATTACTTCTGAGTCAGAATATAGTATTTCGAGGAAATAAAGATCTAACTTGGACCTCTCTGGCTTGGGAATGTATAGAAAGCCTAAAACGCAGACTGGGCCATCCCATCGACCTTCTGACAGACAATCAGATTGTCCAGTGCAAAGGCACTGCGCTGGCCCAGCCACCCGGGGACTGAATTCCCTCCCCAAGTTTCTCAGCTGTTGCTATGTTCTGCCGTGCACACTTACTGTTTTGTTTTGTTTTGCTTTCAGTGACATATCCAAATGGTTGGCTGAAATCATAGAACGGACTCGTGGCAAAGCCAGCACCTCCAGTCAAGATTTCAACATCCATGTCATCTTCCGTACTCCACTTGTTACAACCAGAGAATGAGAGGTCATGCAGTTCATAACCCTTACATTAAGCAGAAATAAGTCTCCATAAATATAGTAGTCACTTGCCTTATTTGCTTTAAGGCCTATAGACAGAAAATGAGTGGCTAGTCACTTTGATGTCGCCTATAGCCTTAATTCAAAGCAAAGCTGACAAGCCAGTGGTGAAATGGGTAAGTCACTCTGTTACATCAAACGGGACAGCCATGGCCCTGCTCTGGGGAGTCCCAATGACTGGTAGAAAAGATCGTGGTAAGATAACACAGACAAGGGGCTGGTGTGACTATGGGAGGGGCAGAGGGCAGCATCATTCTTCCTGCTGGGGGAAGAGCCATGTGGAGATCAGAGAGAAGCGGAAGTCCGGCCAGCTACCAACTGCAATGCAAGCAAGGCCACCGCAGGGGTCGGGTTTGTGTGGCGTGGACTGCAGGGTGGTCTGCACTACAAAGTCAAGGCACGCACACGAAAGGCAGGTACGCAGGAGAGGGTGGGGGTTATTAAACTGAATGTGGAATTCAGTCTAGAACGGACAGTATTCTGGGAGCAGATTTCTTCAATCTGCTGTGAATACAGAGTCATTCACGCATCCTTCGTACGGCATTTGAAAGCGACATCGACGGAATTAGCACAAAGGAAAAGTCTCTGCCTCCACAGGGCTCCCTCTCCCCAGTAACTGTGCAACAGTGTGAGTTTGTTTGTCATGGCAACAGTATGAACAAGATCGTAGGGGAGGGCCTAAGCTGCAAAGACAACCTACTACTCAGTCTTGTAAGGGACAATGACGGAAGGTCCCGAAAGGGAAAACTACAGAGCCCAGAAGTTGGTATCTAAGGAGAAGAGAGGATCCTGGGGGTTTAGGCAAAGGGTTTCTAACACTGTACATCTTCATGGGAGCAGACGGCCACAGCTTTCTTCCTTGGAGGTACTGGGTTTTGACCCACTGACCTGGCAGTAAGTCAACCAGTGCCTAGCCTCCAGGACCCCCAACAGGACTCCAATCATTCCATGGTCATGGTAGCTCATGTGTCATGCTTCAAGAGAGTGAATCTGTGGATTCTACAGCCTACTATTGCATCGAGGAAAGACTGGGGCAAGCAAAGACAAAGAGGTAGAAAGAGCACCGCACTGTGCAGCAGAATCTAGAGAAATGGTGCAGAGGAACCGAACAGGGAAAAGTAGGGATATCCTGGAGACAGAATTTAAGGGAACCAAGAGCTTCAGGAGCAAAGGGAAAGCGCTGTCAAGCAACTCCTGCTCTAGTGGAGAGTCAAGGAGTCCTGGCTATCCGAACAGGGAACTGGGAAGGGGAGTCAACTCCAAAAGGAAATACAGACGTGGAAACAGTATTTTGGAGCTAAACGGAGACCTGAGAACCACAGGGGAGGTGGGGGGGGTGTCAACCAGTAGAACACTAAACACAAAGGAAGGAGGAGAAGGAGCAGGTAGAAAGAGTTCATTACTATGGAAATTGGAGTAAAACTGAGAAAAGACATCTGTCCACAAAGGTCAGTGGTGGCAGCACTCAATGAGGGAGCTTCTAAAGAAGACAGCACAGAAGCCACATGAAGAGACTACAGGGACCACAGTGGTGAAATGAGAGAGAGAGAGAGAGAGAGAGAGAGAGGTCACTGCTTATTTACATATATATATATATTTAAAGGAGACATGAATAGGTTTGCAGGTCAGAGAAAAACATCTAGAAGGAAGAGAAAGATTTAATCCTATTTTTTGGCAGGAAGTTCCTATTTCTAACTGAGCTCTCCATCCCAACTCCTTTCCTCTTGCTTTGATCTTAAAGATATAGAACTGCCATTTTCCATCTTCTAAATGGTGATGGCCTTCATTCCTTGGGGCCCATAACTAAATCATGCCTGGGTTGACAACCCATTAGCATGAGTTCTAGTTTCCACACTTTCAATCATCTCCGTAGCTTTCCCATTGTGACCTTCTCCGCATACCAGATTCTTCTTTGCAAAAGCATTCACAAGTGGGACTAGCCACTTTCAAAAAGGCCGAACCTACATTGGATGATCCCTCTACACTAATGGCTCGCAAAATCATTTGGTTTGTGTGGTTTTTTTGAGACAGCGAGTGAGTGAGTGAATGTGTCAGTGAGTGAGTGTGAGACAGTGAGTGAGTCAGTGAGTGAGAATGAGACAGTGAGTGAGTGAGGCAGTGAGTGAGTCAGTGAGTGAGAGTGAGACAGTGAGTGAGTGAGTGAGGCAGTGAGAGAGTGAATGTGTCAGTGTGTGAGAGTGAGAGTGAGTGAGTGAGTGAGGCAGCGAGAGAGTGAGACAGTGAGTCAGTGAGTGAGTGAGTGAGTGAGATAGTCTAGCAGAGGAACCATTTCATCCAAGTAAATTATCTGCTAAAAAGAAGTGGAGCTGCTCTGATTACTTTCTGTGTGTGTGTGTGTGCGCGCGTGCGCGCGCGCGCGTGCACACCATAGGGGAAACAGAAGCAGAGCCTCAAGTCCTGAGCATCCCCCTCCTGGGGCAGAAACCACTATGTAACTTCCCAGCTTCAGAAAACCACTGTTTTCGCAATGCTCTGCTTTCTGTGTCCTCTGTTAGAGCCACTATTTAAGCTGCGATGTCACAGTGCTGAATATTGATTGTGTTTTATAAGTTTCTTACATTTATACCATAATACCTAAGAAGCTATCAGTCCTGTGTCCTACACTGCCTTCATAGCACAACGTGGCTCTCACCTGGAAGCCTTTTCCAATTCGTAAATGTCCGAAGCTTTCTGACCACATAGCCCCTGGCATTAGCGGTCACTATGGCCAAGACCCCTTCAAACCTAATGTGAACAGGATCTTTCAGCCCGTTACTGATACACATAGAGTCAAGAGAGTAACCTTGCAAACGTTTTGTGGCAAATAAAACTTTTCTCCTCCCAAAGAAAAATTGATACGAATAAAATTCTGCATCTGCTACATATCCTAGAAACAATGAATGGCAAGATGCACAATCTGTACAAAGTTTCAGACAAAAAGTGTAAGAAGTATACTTGTCCAGGAGGAGGAATGGAAACTGGAAACACAGGTGGCAAATGGGACAGGAAATGTTACATTGGGGCAAATAAAATGGAACAAGATGTGTAGGAGTTCTTGAATGGAAAATTGATCTGCTTAGTAAATTCACACAAAATTCAAAATGAAAGAGGAGACAAGTTAGAGAAAGGCACCCAGAGAGAGCACAGCCAGGTAAGGGTGGCGGTAGGCTGCACCTGCAAGCCAAGGAATGCCAATTAATTTCTGATGTTTTACGACAGCTTATCTATGTTACAGCTGGCCTAGGAAACAAATACATCATCTGATGGGGCAGTTGTGAAACATTCGTATGTGTAAAAAATGCTTAGAATAATGCCTTCTCCATTAAAAAAATGTTTAGGAAAAAAAAATAATGTACTTCTGCTTGGTCCTCACCTAATAAATTTTACAGCCAGGCCGAGGTCAGCGATACAGCAAGTTCCATTCTTCTTCACCAGGATGTTCTTGCTTTTCAGGTCTCGGTGGGCAATCGCCGGCTTGCCTTGTGTGCTGAAGATTTCGGTGTGTAAGTGACACAAGCCACTGACAGAAGAATAGGCTAGTTTCAGCATTGCTTTGGTATCTAGGGTGGTAGACTTCAGATAATCGTAGAGGGACCCATTTTCATGATAGTCTGTGATTAGGTATAGCTGAGTCCAAGAACCTGTTCCTTTGATATCTGCAGCAATGAACCCTGAAAGGAAAAACGGAAGGAAGTATAAGACATAATTAATCTTCTCAAATGCTATTCTTCGTCCTACCTGCTGCTGTTAAATGAATACTGTCTCATCTCTCCCTACAGGATGGGGGTCTCAGGCTAATCTTTATGGGAGCTGATCACCAGCTCTTTGATCACAAGGCTCTAATGGTAGTTTTGAACCACCAACCAACCCTTAGGTTCGCAGGTGAGGGCTTAGCCTCCAGGCCACCAGAGGTTCTTGTTAGCCTTCACACTCTTATTTAGCATCCCAGGTTTTTGATTATGGCTATGACAATACTCACTAAATTACTAATTTCAAATAAAAACATTGAAATTGTATAGGTAGATTTTTAAAAAGAAAGTTTCTATCTGAAAACATGATCTCCTTTTTGATTGGTGGTTACTATTTAAATGACTTTAAGGTTTAATCATAAGTATTTCCAATGACCTCAGCACAAGGTAGGAGAGTCAAATTCACCAATGACTCTGAAGGAGACAGGGGAGGCTTGGAAACCTGATGGGTCATGGGTCACTATGAACTGGAGTAGGCTCAATGACAGTGGCCAAAGATTTCAAGGAGTTCTGGGGGCATCGTGGGTAACATACAGGGCTGCTAACCGTAATGTCAGCAGTTTGCACACAGCAGCTGTAAGACACTGGTTACAAAGCAAGATCCTACAAGAGTTATGGCTTAACATCCTCTACTACACACACACTACACACACACGTTAGCATACACTCTGTCCACTTGAATGATCCAGCTGGATTGTTTTTAACTGGAAACATTAAAAAGTGAATAGATTTGTCCTTTGAATTTTTGATAAAAATAAACCGTACTGATAAAATTCCCACACTTTCTTACAACATTTAAACAAAAATACTCTCCTTCAAATCTCTAAAAAAAAAAAAAAAATCAAGAAATGATGGCATTACATTTGCATTCCCTGCCTCTTAAGGAAAAATCCTCTAGAGTATGCCATTGCTCAGCCAGTGCTCATCCATAGACGTGCTTTAGTAATTCATTCTGTGAGGGCTCCCATTGGAAGTCTGTAATATTCTTGACCCCGTGCCAAGCATGTCTAGACAGATGAGTTAGCATGCAGATGTTAACAGGAAAAACAAGGAATGCTAGAAAACCCTGAACATTGCTACACAGATTTGTACTCACCCAAAATATTTTCATGCCTCATCAGCACTGTCTGGTATATTTCTGTCTCTCGGAACCAGCTGGCTTCCTCTGTGGTGAAGAACACTTTCACAGCTACCTTTTCGCCACGCCACTTTCCCATCCAAACTTCCCCATAGCGACCTTTGCCAATCTGTTTCACCATCTGAATCTGCTTAGCTATAGTCCTTTGGACCTGTTAAATCCCAAAATACACTGTTAGTGTGTTCACAGCACTACAGATTGGTTTAATTATTTCCTCCAGAGAAAAACAATTACTGTATGCAAAACATATATAGGCACTAACTTTTCTTTATAGAGAGAAGTTATTTACATTTCCTTATTAAATTATACCATCAATTCCCAAATGTATTTGAGATTGATTTTGGATTCAGAATTTTCAAAATATTGCTTCTAGATTATTAACTTATTTCATTCTACCTATTAACATTTTCTTTGGGAGAAAAACGTAAATGGGATTCTGCTCATTTTCACCACTAGAGTGGGAGACTCCATACTCTGAAGGAATCCCTGAAACCATACAATATGCTCACAGATAAAATGCAACACGGAAAAAAATGTAATGTGTTGTTGGAGCTACTATGAGGAAATAAGAAATCTTTCCCCAGAGAGTGAAGGAGGGAGAGGAGAACTGTGAGGCCAGAGTGGGGAACAAGGCGCTGCTCTCAGGGCTCCGGCTCGTGCACGCACACACAGGTGTTAACTTCTCTTTGAGGTCAGTGCGCAGCTGCAGACAATTCTCTTGGTCGTGGACTGGTCTTCTTCTCATTAAGGTTCCTTCAAAAACAAATAGATAAAAACCCCAGCCCAACCAGAGGCTTTGATGAGGATCTGCAGGGCTAGTTAAATTCAAGACGGAACAGTTGGCTCAGCAAGTTACGGCGACCTGTTTGTGTGAACTCACACGCATAGTCTTGATCTGCTACTTTTTCAAGGACACGGGAGGGTCACCGGGCTTGTTAGGAAGAAATTTTAGGAATATCAAAAACTGCACTGGTGAGAACAGCCAAAGAAGTGGTGCCAAAGAATGTCCCCCACAACAATGTCCCCACAACATGACAATGCACCTAGACAATCTTAGAGGGCAGCAGTTCACGGGCAACGATGCCCCAGCCATCCTAGAGGCCTGGTCTTGCCCTCAGAGTCTAGACTTCTTTTGTTCTCTAAACTCAAAGAGCACTTTTAAAGGGAGAGGCTTTGAGTCCCTCTCCCGTTTTTGATGGGGTGTAAATGAAAGAGTGAGGAAGTGTCTAGCCCCAGACGAAGGCTATATTGAGAAACAATAACTTTACATCTTGATATTTCTGTTTTATAAAGCTTTCTTTTGCTTTTGAGTCAGCCTCCCACAGGCGCAGGGGCTGCTGCAGACGCGTAGTCCGACCTCGACTCTGGATCCGCGCTAGAGAGTCGGGGAACAACCTAGGGCTGTCCTTAAGCTCACACCACATTTTCCCCGGACGGGCCGCACACTGTGGCTCCCAGCCATAAACAAATAAAAGCTTCCTTAGGAAAAAGTGATTTGCACAATATTTTTCACTTACAACATTGGTGGCATACTCGGCACTTTGAATGAAAACTTACTGCCCCAAACTTGATCAGGGGTAAAATACAATAAAATGAAAGTGTGACTCGTCAGCTTCAGAATTTTTAAAAAAAATTTTTCCCAACTGGAGGAGGGATGAAAATAGTATGAGAGAACTAGAATTCAAAAAAAAAAAAAAAAAGGAATCTTTCTCCTTTGGAGCTGGTTGGTGGTTTTGAACTGCTGACCTTGCAGTTAGCAGCCCAACACATAACCACTATGCCACCAGGGCTCCATTAACATTATACAAGGGAGCTTCAAAATCTTTGTAGAAACCTTCCATGATCTTTTTATTCCTGTACACCGCCCCCAAACTTTTTGAAGTCTTCTCATATAATCCAAGGAAGATCCTTAAAAAATAATTTATATTTAAGTAGACTGTTATAAAACTAAAGTATTCAAAGCAAAGAGAGTTAAAAGTGGAGAAAAAAAGACAGATGCCCAGTCTTGCTCAACCATTCTTTTCACTAACAACACATAAACAAAACAACTAATGTATGCTATCTCCAGAGCACTGTATCTAAAGGGAAAAGCTCCACAGAACTATGTCCACATAAGCACGTGGCTAAAAATGAGAGCAAAGTAAATAATAAAAACTTTTAAAATAAAAGAGAAAGCAGTTTTCCTATTGGCATATCTCAAGAATGTAGTATGCATTTTAATAAAGAAAATGACCCCAAATGAAATGAGATATAAGAAATGGCAAACAAGTTGATTAACATGTAAGTCAGTCTACACAAACACTGTCTGGACGTAATAATAATAATACGATGTCTAACTTACAGAAATCTCAAAATAAACAAACAAAAATGACAGCGACCTAAAAGAAAAAAGACGTAATCATACATTTGGGGTAATAATATTCTAAGAACCTTGAATGTGCTGGGTATAATTTCAAATGGTCTAGATTTAAAAATATGAAATTTGAAATGTAACAACTAAAAATATTCAGATCAGAAGAAATGGAACAAATAAGCAAATCCTACAAAGAGAACAAGACCACAATAAAAAGAGGTGAGAAAGGAGGCAAAATGCTGTACAATGAAACATTAGAAACAAAGCTAAATATCTCTGAATTCTCCAAAACCATAAATTTCAATTAAATGACAGGCACCATGAGATGGAAAAACATTTGTAAATTAAGAAATCTGGTCGCATACTTTTTATAGGACCCATTCCAAAAACACAAGGCCAGAAAGAATGAAAGATGAGACAAAATATGAGAGATAAAAAGTTTGTGGAAAAATGGAATGAAAACAATGGTAAACAAGCGGCCATCTAGCTCAGAAGCAACAAAGTCCACATGGAAGAA